TGGGGAGGCTGCTAGCATCATCAGAGACTCTGCTGGGAGAAACCCCTGGATCTAGTGGAGAAAAATTACTACAGTTCAATGTTGATCTAAGACCTCTTCCCCCATCTGCCAAGTCTCACTGTATAACCCACCTCCATGCTCCACAGGCTCCTTCACAGCACTTGCACCCTTCCACACCAACACCTTCACTAGCCCCTCAGCTCTGTTCTCCTCCTGTAGTTACTCTAGGCCACCCAATCACAGCACTAGAAATCACGGGTACAGATTTCCTTCATGAGCTTTTTTCCTCACCAGCTTTCTGCCCATCAGCCTCCTGCAGCTTCTCCAGAGTTTGCTGACTGCACGCCTGCAGGATTTGAGCACATATCTCCTCTGCCCCTTCTGCTAGCTTGTAGATAAGCATTACCGCTGCCTCCATGAAGGGGATCCAGTGACCACTTGGCTGGGCGAAGCCTGATGAGAAGAGGGAGCCATGTACCACACATACCAGCAACAACACAGGCTGTCTCACAGCCCAACTCCATCTCCTCCAAACCTACTGCTGACTTGAGCTCACCTTTACTCACAGTCTCACTCAGGCACCCAAAGAGCATGTGGTTCTGTGGCAGTCGAAAAGGTGCATTGTTCTTCCCCAGTGCTGGCTACAGAGAGAACAGATGAGTTACTCTTACCACATAAGAGATCCCCCCCATGCCCTTCCTGGTACTTAACCTTGCTATGTGCACAATGCTAATCAAACCCATACTAGGCCCATGGCTGGGACATCCAGTACTGCTCTGCAACTAAACACACAGCAGGGACATTACTGTCACTTTTGAAGGCATGGTGGCAGCACTGGGTGGATTTAAAGCTTGGCCTAATGATGATCCCAGGCCAACTCAGACAGATCCACTGTTTCACCTTAAATCAAAAGAGCTCTTTTGAAATCTCAAAATGACTCTTAAAATCTGATATTATTTACTCATTCTCCACAATGAATGAAGAGGGAAACCTTTAGAGCCTCTTCAGAGTTATCAACACTAAGTCAACTAGACACTCTTGCCTAGGGGTACTCCAGAACCATGAGGTTTTGTTTAAAAGCAAAATATCATCAGTAGAAATAAGAGAGGATAGCTCTGGATCCAGCACCACCTCACACTTAGGCTGTTGCATATGCTCTGTATCAGTCCCACCGTATTTTAGGTTGGGAATAAGATAGCCTAGAAAAACTACTAAACCAAGTATGACAATGCCCAAGATATCCCAGCATGTCTGTGGCTGCCTGATCACGGCATACTTGACTAAAACAAGCTACTGCTTGAGAATTTACCAGCTTTCAGTAGCTGGAAACAAAATTTCTCAATTCACTACAATCCTACTCTCTCTACTGAATTTCTGGTTGGTGGGGGGGGGAGGGGAAGGAAGAGCTACCATAGTCATTCAAGTATCTACAGTTCAGTTCCTTCTCACATACAAACTTAAGTGCAGAGTTAAGTCAACCTAAAATTGAATTATAACTGTCTTCAGAACATTTAAGAATGTTGCAATACACATTAATTCATGAAGGTCCTGCAGTAACGTCCATAGTGGAAGGGGCAAATGCAGAATGACGGTGCTGTGTGAAGAAGGGCTGCTTTTATGATGGAACTCCCAAACCAAAATGCCCCAAATGCTTGAGTCAAAAAACAAAGAGGTTTTTTTTTTCAAGTGCATTAAAAAAAAAAGGATAAATTGTTCCCCAGACAAAGAAGCCATCAACTATCATGTTGTTGTAAGTACAACATGGACAGGTTTGAAAACCTTTCATGTTTTATATTCAGCTGTACAGCTGACAACTCCCAAATATCAATTAATAGGGAAGGCAAAAGAATCACAACACCAGAAAACATCAGTAGAGGAAAGGGCATCATGGTTGAGGAAACACAAATCAGCTTAGATCTGGGAGTCTGAGGAAAAGAATTGAAAGAAAAACAGATTTTCTTGTGCACTGAACTCTTTACTAATTGAATTCAGCCTGTGGCCTAATGAAAATTCTTTTATTATATGTTCACTGAAGTGTAGTAAGCTTTCCAGACAGTGCTGCTGAATGGTCTCAACCTACTTAATTTCAAAATCAGTAAAAACTTAATCACTTCTCTCTCTTTTCAATACAAACATTTTCCCCCTTCTTTGTTTCTGGATAACTGCTTCTGAATGACCTCAAGAACAAGCTAAGAATCTTACCTTAGGGTTACTGGCAAGTTTGGAGATCGCATTGCATACTTCTTGAGCCAGCTGATAGTCTTCACATACCTTCTCAGACAGCCCTACTGTCACCAAGACATCCAGGTTGCTACCTATGATCTCTGGCTTCCCTCTATGGAATGGAAGGGGTGGGAGTATTACACGAGTTGCTCCTGAAAGTTTACAGAAGTATGCATAACCAATAGAAATACTCCTTGTGCCTTGCAGAAGGCGTAAGGGGCGGGGCGGGGCCAAAATCCATCCAATGACTCAAGATACAGCTATAGGAGCAGCAAGCAATATTCCACAGAAGCCAGTATAATCCATACTCCACTAAGAGAGGAGGTTCTCCAAAGCAAACAACACTGGGCATACTGCCTCTTTGTAAAGAAGGAAGATTCTTGACTCTTCTTTCTTATCAGAAAGGAGCAAAACTTAAAAGGGTAAGACAAAGAAAAATGTTGCAAAACAGAAAAGAGTCCAGCAGCTCAGGACTGGTGATGCATGACTCCTCCTCCCTTACTGTGGGAAACGAAACAAACCAACAACCCCCC